TACCAAAATGACCCCAGGCACAACGAGAAAGGCCGGCAGAGGGGTGCCGCGGAAAGAATTTTCAGGGAGGAGCCAGAGGATGCAGCTCCGGCCCCAGGCCAGTCGTCCTCCAGGCCTCTGACCTTGGGCACATCAGAGCAGGTCCTGATCCCTTTCCTGCTCCGAGGTCGCAGGCTGTTGGCCAGCCCCGGACTCTCTCAAGCTTGTTGAAAAGGACTCTGAGAAGGGAAAGTCGCAGTCCATGTGCCAGGTGGGGTGTGCTCGAGGATTCCATTAAAAAGGCTGAATTCAGGCTAAAATGAACCGCCTGGGCCGCTCTCACGGACGCTATGGCCTCCCGACCCCCCTCCCCTCCCCCCTCCTCCTTCATGAATCACGGCACTAGGAGCCACGTTCCCGTTTGGGAGACTTCGTGGGCACGCACTGTGACACTACTCGCACTGTGTCTGCAGTCTGTATACCCAGCCTGACCACATCCTAGTGTTAGTGCTAATAAAACCCATCGCCATGGTTACGGTGAAATACCTCGGTCATACAGCTCTCATTTTGATTTTTCAAACCTATTTGCTCAGAGTCTGGAGCCAGGATCCGTGGGTGTGGTAAGTGCCTAGGTGAGGTTTTATTTTTGGAGATGGCGAGCCGAGGCTCTGAGGTCATCTTCGAGTTAGGAGCTGTTCTGGAGGGGCGGTGCCTTTTCGGGCCCACAAATAAAGGCTCTGTGGCCGACTCCAGGGACCGATGGTTAAGTCCTCGAACGTCATATCCCGTTGGAGGGAAAGACTGTTTTCTGAAGCAGCAGGAAGACAACCAAGTACTTGTGTGATTCAGGTCTCCCGCATGGGTGGTAATTAAAAAAAGAGACCTTAGATTTTTAAGTTGCATAATTCTCTTTACTATGGGAGAAGGGAACTCAGAGTTCTGCAAACTTTGCAGCAATAACCGGGTAACTGATTTATTTTTCTCGGCGGCGATGGGGGAGAGGTTGATAGGCGGGAATACTTGACGACTAATGGAGTAGCAAATGTATATAATTATGCAACTCAAAAGCAATACAGACGTGGCTTTATTTTCCTTTCCATTTCCTCCCCTCATTTAATCTTAACAAAAGTTCAGGGCAATTAAAAAGCCCAGAGCTATCTTGCTGTAATATCCAGGCCGAAAATGTAAAGGCCAAACGGTAGAGGGAGTGAGCAGACATATCCTCATTCCAATCATAGCTCAGCCCCGAGGAATGCACAGTGCAGGACGCACACTCGTGGCATGGCCAAGGGCTCCGTCTCCGTCTCCGGGGCGGGGGGAGTGTGTGCAGGGGGTGCTGGTGCAGCTGGAGAGTGAAACCCACTTCCCGTCTGCCCGAGTTTAGATCTGTATCCCTGATGTCGCATGGAGACTCCCCCGACCCCCACATCCCTCACCCCGCCACCCGTTTTGATAAATAATTGTTGCTGGATGCAGAGGGCACATGTGAGTGCACTAAAGTATTTATCGAGCACCCACTCGGGCCAGCAGCACCCTTTTCTTTTTCTTTTTTTTTTTCTTTTGGCTTCAGCACCTTCTGTCTTTGCTACAGATGGCATTTTCTCAGGCTCTTCAAATGCAGTTTTGGGGGCCTCTGTGCAAATAGCTTATTACCCCTGAGCTCCTGTTACAGAGAACTTCTGGAATGTGCACTGGCTTCACCCCATCCCTCATCCCCTCAGTTTTCCTGCCCTCACCCCCAGCATCTTCCTCGCCACCACCCCCAAAATGCCCCTTCCCCAAGGAGGCGCAGCTACTGCGGGATGTGCAAACATGTGACTGGGGAGACTGGATGCAAGAAACTGCTTAGGCCGGGGACAACAGAGGGGTTCCGCTAGATACTGATGTGTATGTGCACGCACACACGCACACACGCACGCATGCACGTACCCCTTCCCTCCGTCTCTCCCCCTCGCTCCTCCCCACCCTCCACCTGTCTTCCATCCTGGCCTGGAGACCTGGAGCTTAACGAGAGACTTTCTGGGAAGCACATGGACCGCTGGGCCTGGGGGATGAGGCCTGGGAATGGAGACCTTGTCCCAAGCTCTGCGGGTGGCCTCAGAGCTCAGGGGCCCGCAGGCTCAGCCACAGCCTTGAGGCTTTATCCCCCATCATCAGCAGCCCAGAATACATTTCTATTATTTACTTATTTATCAGACTCATACTCAGAGTGTCCGGATCTTGAAGAAAGCGGACATTGGGGGGGACCATTTCGATAGAGCAATCTGTCTGAACGTGTGGCCCTGCCTCAGCTCCTGGGGCGAGGGGAGAGGGTCCTGGGGATGGGAGCTGCTTAGAGCAGCCGGAGGAGGCGGCAGGTGTCCTTGTCACGCCTGGACAGGGAGGAGCAGGCGGTTCTGCTCCTCTGGGGAGAGCCCGTGGGACTCCAGTTCTGGCTTCGGCTTTTATCTGCTTGTATTTGTTTAGGCTCCTGTAGGTTGTCGCATGAGCTGAATACTTGGTTAAAAGATGGTCTGCAGGCCGCAGGCATAGGGGAAGCTCGACTTGTTACCTGTGACTCAACGTGCGTCCTTGGGAAGGGCGTTCCGTTGCTTTGGGCCTCATTTCCTCCTTCTCCAAAATGGAGGAGAAAATCTGGACATATACACGAGAAAGCGATGTGTGTGCTGCCGGGTGGAAGGGCGTCGGGGCAGGGCTGGAAGGCAGATCGGCTCTTCTCTGTCCTTCGTCTGGTCACCTGCACGCGCTCTCTAAAGCCCACCGGCACCTGGCAGTGAACACCTGCCTTCGACACAGGCCCCGTGTCAGAGACAATGCCTGTGACCGCGCTCCTCAGCCGTTAGGAACCGTACACGTATTTAGAGCCATAATTGGAATCATTGCAGACAGAGGTCGGACGTGACTCCTTGGTTCTGCCGGGGAGCGAAGTGGCCTGGGGGTCTTGCGGACTGTGCCCCGATCCGGGGAGGCCTTTCTGCCTCTAACCCAGGGTGGCCGGCCGGGCACCTTTCGCCAGGCTGTGCGATAGCGCGGGGCGGCCTGGACCCTCCGTGTGCCATGCGATGCCTGGTTTCCAGGAGCGGCAAGCACGGAGCATGTCCGCCCTGCCGAGCGAGTTCTGACAAGCACGTTCCATCCTCCGCCTGGAGGTGGCGGGGCCCAGGGCTGCTTGGGGCGAGCAGCGGGAGAGGCGCCTGCACTGTGGCTGCCCCCAGACTGGGTCCCGCGGGGGAGGTTTGTGCAGAATGGGTGTGAGTCTCCCGCAGGCTGTTTGCTGCGTCACACTCATAAAAACGCTGCCGTGAGCATATGGCTCCTGGTGTACGAAGAGGCAGACAGTACACATAACAATCGCCCGCATCAGTAAAATGTGCCATTGGGGTTCGTTTTCCTGAAGTTGCACAGGGATTTTAAGACGTGCTAGTTAAGTATCCACTATGTGATCAACATGGCACAGAAGGAGAACAAGGTGTAGGAACTGGTTTCTATCCTGGAGAGTTTCCTAGTGACACCTGAAACACCTCAAGTCCTGAACCCCCAAAGCCCAGGCTCCTCACCTCTCAGCTGATAAACCCACCGACTTCATCCCCATCTGCTGCTGTCAAAGTCAGACAGCAATATCGAGGGTTCTTTAAAACCTGAAGATGCTCTCCCGAGTTTAATTTCCTAAGATAACAATGGTAATTAGAGGCGAAAGTGTCAGAAAACGCCCAAACGCACGCGCCGTTAGAAAGGAGAGGGACTGACCGATGCCGGCTTGCATTTTGCGGGGGCGGGGGGCGCGGGGCGCGCATGGAGATGGAGGCGGTGCCGGTCCCTGGGCCGGACGTTCGGACGTTCGGGTGGCGGCAGGGAAGCGAGAGCGAGCGGGACAGGAGGGGTCGCAGGAGCGAAGGGGCAGGAGACCCCGCGTCCCGGTCTGGGGCTGGGCCGGCCGCGGAGGCGGCTTCTGAGGCAGGGTGGGCACTGAGGCGAGGCCGGTGGGGGTGCAGAGGGCTTTGACGGCCTGACACCCGTTCCCGGTCGCGGGCCCCGGGGGATGCCCCGGAGGCTGGTGACCGGGGGAGACGCGGTATCAGCATCTCAGCATCTCAGCATCGACGTTTCACGTTCTCTAACTCGGTCCCCCTCGTGATTCGAAATCAGCCGTGGCCATAGCTCGGGACTGTGCAGCATTAAGCCCTGACCCGTGGGCTCGGTAATCACAAATGTTAGGATGAAAAAAGCCCTTTTATGAATAGCATACTTTCTCCCTTAGACAAAATCTGATTATGACCCGAAATGAAATATCACCAGACCAATCGCAAAGAAACCGCTATTCATCTCCCGGTCCCTCGGGAGGAGCAGGAGGCAGAGGAAAGCTCTGAAGCCGCTTCCCCAGTCTCTGGACGGGCACTGGCCAGGGCTTGCGTTGCCTGTTTGTGACCAGGGGAAGCCCCGTCAGAGACCCTGCGCTTACAGCTCATTGTAATGTTTTAAAGGCTTCCACAGACATTTCTTCATTCGATCCACTGTAACGTGAGGAGGGGAGGGATGTCTTGCCCTATTTCACATATGAATAAACTCAAGAGCAGAAATACGTTCAAGGTTTGTTTAAAATGGCAGAGCTGGTCAGTGGCCAAGGGCAGACAGGGGTGCAGTTTCCTGGTTCCCCAGTGGGATGCTCTCTCACTAACACGAACTGCTAAAAAGCAACAAGAGGAAGAATAAGCAGGGTCACCGGTCACTTCCGCGGTTCACGAACCTTCCATCTCTCAGACTCCCTGAGATCTGTGGTCCTCGCTTGTTTGGTGGCCTCACACGAGCTTCTTTATCTGGAACCCCCAACACTCGCTCGATCCCACCCCAACTGCTACACTGAACCTCCTGCCTCCGTTCATTTAAGTCTCAGCCTATACATTGTTCCCCTTGGGAAACCTTCTGTGACCTCACCGAGGGAAGAGCCCCCTGTCCTGTGGGCCTCACTGTCGCACTGCAGCCGTAACCTCCTTTAGGCTCGCTGTGGATTTACTCATCTTCCTTCGTAAACAGTCTGTTCCCATCACGGCATCCCCCCACCTTCTGTGACCTCACCGAGGGAAGAGCCCCCGTCCTGTGGCCCTCACTGTCCCACTGCAGCCGTAACCTGCTTTCGGCTCGCTGTGGATTTAATCATCTTCCTTCGTAAACAGTCTGTTCCCATCATGGCATCCCCCCGATCTGGGACATGTTTCACTTTCGGGAGATATTTGCTGAGTTAATGAACATTGCTATAGCCAGGGAAACTGAGGCTCACGGCAATCGAATCCCTGAGGTCTCACGGCTAACTAGGCCGACGTGGCGATTCTTCTCCTCCATGTCCAGTGC